CTTCATTCTCCCCCCCCCCTTTTTCTCTCACAATCCAGACCACACACTATACAGAGCGGTACGGATCCTGGAAAATGAGAACGCACTGTTAAAATAGTTGTTTTTGAGCATTTTTGAGCATTTTTGAGATGATACAGCTGTTAATGAACTACAAATCAGTTGAACCCTCGTAAAACTTGTGCTAATCAGCTTAAATTGGCCCACAACAGAAATTACTTGTTACAATTTTGCTGTACAGGTACAAGAAAAGTGTAGTTAATTTTGTTAGGAACACATTTTGTTTCAAAACGAAACACTCGTAAAAGTGACTGTTTTCGGTCAGGAACTTTGTTTCCGTCATTTTTACCATTGTTGTACTTTGACAAGTTTGTTAAAAAACAACAGGTGTTGCTAACAAACTTAACTGAACTTTCGTTGTTACCTTACAATACATTTTTGACAGTCCCCGAACTGTACGGACCTCAACGCAGGCATGGGCCAAGACTCTATGTGCGTGCGTGCGTGCGTGTGTGTGTGCGTGTGTGTGTGGGTGTGGGTATAGGAGAAAGATAGACAGACAGACACACTCTCAGTGACAGGATAGGAGGCAGACAGACGGACAGACGGACAAACAGACAGACGAACTGACAATGTTATCAACCGATCTATGCACGCCTGCTGAACGAGAACAAGAGATGCAGAAGAGAAGTTTCTCTGTCATCGCCTTCACGTCGGCAGCGAGCGCCTGCGAAGCGGCGGGTAGGCAAGCCCGGCGGGCAGGGCTGTCCGGCGGGCAGGCCCACCCGGCAGCCGTAGGGCGCGCCGAGTCGCAGCGAGAAGAGATTAATAATGAAAGTTCAGTTAAGTTTGTTAGCAACACACGTTGTTTTCTAACAACCCTGGCGACAGCTTTTCTAGAAAATAGTCTAACTCGTGTCAACTCATGTCATTTATAATGACACATAGAATATGTCATTTTGACGTCATGTACGGTCAATTTAGAGTGATTTTAACTTCAAAATGAGTAAAATTGTCCGTATATTCCGTCAAAATTACATCATATTCGTCAAGCAACACGATTTGATATATATATATATCAAATTTCCAGGGAACATTTCCAAATTCCCAACAAATTATCGTTTTCTTTACATCTTAAAACTGAATGGTCTGATGTTGAAACAGTTTCGTCAACTGGGATGTAGATACAAGAAATAATAGCCTTCTGTATTTGCTATTGATGTGAATTAAACCGACCTCTTAAAAATTACAATATTTTTTAGAATTTAACGGAGACATGTTGGAGTTTCTTAATTCCGTAGATTCCATGGAGTAAAACGAAGGTTCCTTGTAGAGTCGTTACAAAGGAATGTTGGAAAAGAAAAACACGTAGATATTCTGGGAAATTACGGAGAAGTGTTGGGATTTTGGTTTCCAAAGAACTACTGAGATTTTCAGATGTCTTCGTATGGTAAAAGTGTTGTAAAATCATTTTTTTTTCTAACAGCCCGCGTAAAAATCTAAGGCTTGTTTTGGACCCATTCTCGTCGTTTTCCACTAGTCTAATAACGACCAGCATAGTACGAATATACGACGAAGTATCGAGGTATTCCGTCGTATTTCCGTTCCTTTGCCGCCGCACCAGGGTCGTTTAACTGGTAAAATTCCCGACGAGAATGCGACGAGAAAACGACGACCCATGCAGCGCCGGCGCCGCCAGGCACCGCCGTATACTCGTCGTTTATTCGTCGTATTTTGGTAGCGGAAGGGGAAAGAAACAAAACGGTCGGCCGCCGAGAGGCGGACTCGAACCGCCGACCACTCAGTCGCGATGCCGAGACGGTATCCACCTGGCCAGGGAGGACGCCAGCAGGCAAAGCGGCCAGAACCGCATCCCATGCTGACCTGTGCTCTCTCGACACAAACCTCACTCTCAGCGTTCTAGATTTAGACTGTCGGCTACTGAGCACAATTTTTTGAGCTCGCGAGCACAAACTGACTGTTCCGAAAAGTTGTGTCGAGATGTTACTCATGACGCAGTGCATAGTGGCCCAGTCTAAATCTAGAACGCTGAGAGTGAGGTTTGTGTCGAAAGAGCACAGGTCAGCATGGGATGCGGTTCCGGCCGCGCTGCCTGCAGGCGTCCTCCCTGGCCAGGTGGATACCGTCTCGGCGTCGCGACTGAGTGGTCGGCGGTTCGAGTCCGCCTCTCGGCGGCCGACCGTTTTGTTTCTTTCCCCTTCCACTACCAAAATACGACGAATAAACGACGAGTATACGGCGGTGCCCGGCGGCGCCGGCGCTGCATGGGTCGTCGTTTTCTCGTCGCATTCTCGTCGGGAATTTTACCAGTTAAACGACCCTGGTGCGGCGGCAAAGGAACGGAAATACGACGGAATACCTCGATACTTCGTAGTATATTCGAACTATGCTGGTCGTTATCAGACTAGTGGAAAACGACGAGAATGGGTCCAAAACAAGCCTTAGATTTTCACGCGGGAGTGTTTAGAAAAGATACAGCATTTGACCCCTCGCGAAACTTGTGCTATTCGGCTTATATTTCCAGGGGACGGAAAATGGTCAAACACCAACGGTTTGTTATAAATTCACAAAGTATCTTTGTAGTAGCCCATAGTTTACGAATAAATGTCGTTATATCCTTAAAATTTAACAAAGAGTTTTGGAAACTTTTTTCACGTAGAATTCTTCGTGAAGTTCTGACTTTTTTTTAACAGGGAAATGACTGTTTCTTTACAACTACGTAAAACAGTAAGTCGCCTAGCTTTGGGACACCCTGGATTTATCGATCACGATGGGACCATTAAAACAAGTATTACATCTCAAAATAATCAAACATTGCGTCTGACCATTTATTCTTTCCAGGGCGGAGAGGAGAGGTGGGGATGAACCTGCCGACGCTTAAGCTGACAGACGAGTAGAGTAAGAGAGAGCGAAAAAGGGGAGTTTTGGGAGCAGTTTGGTCCTTCTGTCCGGCGCAGAGAACTCATAATGTGCTCGTGTATGGGTGAGCCGCCACGCGCCGCCACGCCACGGGACGGGGCGAGGATGAATGACCCTGGCCGGCAGAAATATATCCGCCGCACACCGAAGGCTTAATTGAAAACCAGGATTTAGCGCGTCACCTCTCGCCCGGCCCCGTCTTCTGTCGCAATCCCTCTCTGCTGGTGTACAAGGGGACGGGGTCGATGGTGCAGCGGGGAGGGAGGGAGAGAGAGAGTGAGAGAAATAGAAAAGCAGTGATGCGCTGTGGTATTCTAAAGTGAATCATGTATCCGACGATTTTTTCTTTAAGCGGGGGGCAGGGGTTCGAAGTACTGACTACTGACTAATGTACCTGCGTGAGGCAAGCAGCAATGAACGAAAAAAATCAATAGTACGTAAGCACTGCAAAAACAGTTTCTGCGGTTAAAGGAATTTCTACTAAAAATTGATTTCATCGTATTAAATGAAATTTTCATTCGGAAATTGTTTTCATTTAGAGTCCATTTTGATATGATAGAACCAATATTTCAATGATTGAATTTCCTTGTATCGATACAAAAAAAAAAAAAACTTTTCCTGTGCAGTACTGGTGCGAGAACTCGCGGCCAGTGTGGCAGGTGAGGGGGAGGGATAGGGGGCGGGCAGGGTGGTGAAAACCGCATCGCACCGCGTCTCGCCATGACTGGTGCCCCGCCACGCCCCGCCCCACCCCGCGCGCCTCTCCACGGGACGCCACTCATACGCAGTCCCATGCGACTCCTGCCGCTCCGAGGGAGAGAGAGGGAGATGGAGGAGCGGCGGCTGGCTGACAGGAGAGCGGCAGGGTGCGGTCGCTCTACTAATACTGAGCGCCTCTGCTCAAACTCCCCGCCGACTGTTCTCCCCGTCAGACCCTCCCCCGCCCCCACCTCCCGCGCATCGCCCTTCCCATGGGCATTTTCTGTGGCTGCAGCTATACCACCGCTCTACCGTGTTCTATACGCCCGCTCGTAGACCCGTTTAGTTTCCAACATATATCGTGCTCGATCGCTCAATTTCACGTTTTCCAATTTTTTTTTCCACAAACAAATTGTGGGTGAATTTTATTCTACTTTTTGCTCGACTTTTTGACAGCAGTGCATTTCCATTCCGAGGTTCATTATGTCGGACGTCGGAAAAAACATTGTTCTCACTAATTACAAAAATAAATGATGCACAGCAAATGACTGATGTTGGTTACCTTGATACCTGCGCCCTGGCTGCCGCAGGCTGGACGAGGGGTGATCTTAGGTCGGGGCTGCTGGAACCCAAGGTCCTTGCCTGGAACCATCCTGGAGGTGGAGGCCATGGCAGGCCGCTGGCAGGGCAGGCGTGACCAGAAGCGCAACGCTCAACTGGAACGGGCGGGGCGGGACAGGTTGGCCCACGGGACCTGTCTGCGCAGAAAGACATCATAGGCGTGAGCTGCTGCCTGCCGACACCCGGCCCTGTCGACAGAAGTGGGAGCAGCGTGAAGTCACACAGTACAGGCGCGGATTAAGAGGGGATTGCCCCTCACCCACTAACCAATTATTAAATTAAATTCTAGCCCACTATTTTTCCAAGCTTCCAAACCTGTGTAAATTTCTTTTTCTCATGAATGTGGGATAAAAAATATCTCGAAAAATGGGAAAAAACACCCTTGCCACCCCTTCTTCAATTGTGTTATTTTAAGAAATGGCACCCATTCCACATGAGGTACATTCTACATTTCTACAGAGTGTCTCCCTCTTTGAATGCGCCTGAAAACCACTTCCCCACCATTCCCAGAATTGTTGTTCAACATGCGGGGAAGGTTGGGGAAAGGATGGGGTCACTTTTGGACAGAATATAGGAAAAGATGAACCACAAAAATGTCTTTTTTTCCTGTTCATGTTACAGTAGTATAGGGATAGGTTTGGGTAAAGAATGAGGAATGAATTTTCAAGTAAGTATAAGAAATGTAGGGGATACAAAGGGTGAATATAGCAAGCATGGTTGTTATAGTGTTATAATTAATCAAAACTTCATAAATATAAATGTGATACATAAATAGAAAATCTAAATTGGAATAAATGTTCCTTTAACTACACCTTTTGTTTTTTTGTTTTTAAAACATTCACATAGAAATTTAAAATGACCACAGTTAATATTGTTTCCAGAATAAATATAACTAGCATCACAAGTCAAACACAAGGTATTATGTGGATTCAACAGAATAGTAACTGTTACTAAGCCAATTTTCCGGTTCTGGCAAATCAAATACGCAGTGTTTAGTAGATCATACGATAAACTCAAACACAAAACCTCAAAATAAAACTATGTACGTACAAAATTTCATTTAACATTAAATTTTGAATTCACTAAAACAATTTTAAATTTCCTGCCAGAAAAAATTCTCAACAAAAAAAGTAATAAAAAATAAAACATCCTCAATAGTTATGGATGTAGTCCAGACTATACAATGGGTTCAACAGTAAGCTGCACTTTGATGGCAGGGGCAAATTATCACAGATAAGTCACCAGACATATACCACAAATGCTCTCTGATTTCAATCTACAAATTAAGAAATAAGGGAAGAGTACAAAGATGCAAATGTTCAGTCTGAGCAATAGTGTCATACACAAATAAACTACACAATAAATTGAGCTAACTAGTGGTCCCAGGGAAATGCCTCACACATCTACAAGACAATCACAGGCCTGTTGCAAAAATGGCACACACAAAAAAGTATAGAGAGTATATATTAATCATAATAGATTAGATAAATGCTTTCAAATTGATTCCTTAAAAATGTGGTAGGGAAATACAGTTCCGCACAAAAGGAAAGTAGCTCTCAGTGCGCATTCCCTTCCCACAACTACACTATCTTGATTGGTTCCCATAATAAATGAATGGAATGGAGGGGGAAAACCCCAAATATGTCTTTTGTTCCAAAATACAAGGTGTTGTTTCTATGTGGCTCATTTGCATTAGAAAAGTAATGTAAAGTACAAATCTAAAAAGTTTCAGCCACTGAAAAACGTCTCCAATTTGCAAAGTCACATATCAACTTCAGCATTTGGGGACTTGAATAAAAGCTTCTCTGTTTTAATAGAGAGCCAAACCATACCCTAAATACAAAGGACGTCCCACCAATTCAAATCACACACTTAAAATAACAGCTTAACATTACACTTGATCCTGCATGCAATTTGCTTTTCAATAAATTTGTAAAAAATAGGTTTGTTTAAACAGAAAAATATATAACAAGAGCACTTATACACCACTAAGCCATGTTCCAAATTACAGGGATGGAGGGAACTAACCATTGGACTGGTAACTACTGTACAATCATGTTAAACAAAGGAAGAAAAAATTCAACATGTCTGACCTAAATTCTGCATCCTATAAAAAGGGTTTGTTTTCACCCTTAAAGAGGCCAATAACAGGGTTTTGCCATGGATTCAGCAGAGAAAATGTCCAAAATTGCATTGTAAGTAGAAGCTGAGCCACCAACAAGGCCAATAATAATTAGTTCCCACATGTAGACTCGTTTGTAAAGAGGAATGTGCCTGCAAAAAAGCAATTTATTTTTTATTAGTTGAAGTAAACATTAGATTAAGCAAATATTGAGGTACCAAGATTCAATCCTTAAGGAAACCATACCTTTGAGGCCATTCCTCTCCCTTCTGATCACATAAAATCATGTAAAACAATGAGGGAAATACAAAGGTGAGCAGCGTTATGGTTGACCCTCCAACAAGTGACAAAATTTTGCCAAACTTTGGAATAGTTTCACCAACAAAGACCATGATGCACATCATGATGGTTCGCAGAATACACCGTTTAAGGCAAAACTCTGCAATATTGGATAAGATTAGATTCAAATGAAGAACCCTCAAATGAAACACTTCTATTTTCAAAATATGTCGTGAAGGTTGATAATTTGGAAGACTTACCATGAGGCACTTGAAAAATCTCCTCGAGTTCTTGACAGACAGGGTTGATGACAATCAAAAATGCCAAAATCAGATGAATGGCCATAAGAACATTTGCCATGCTCACGAGGCTACTATGACCAAGAGACAGAATAACATTTGGATCAACAGCCTCACCGTAGATAAAGTAACCTCCAGCAGCAACTGGTAAGTAAAGTGCCATAATTGCTGAAATAGATTATTAATGAGATTAGAAAAAAATGTGTATGAGTAAAAATTAGCTAAATATGTATATGTAACTTCATTAAATCACTTACTGGCAAATCCTATAAGAATACTTTTAGAAAAATGTTGTTTTTCAGCCATGTCATTTTGAATTGTTGGGAAGGTGGAGGCGCCACCAAAAGCAAACAGAATAGTTCCAAAGGAGAGGAAAAAGCTGCCGAAGCCATGGTTCTTAACTGGAACAGGCTCTGTGTTGTGTAAGCCATCAATAACCATTTGTGAAAATATAAACACACAGGCAAAAGCAGTAGTAAGGAGAGCTCCAATTCCAACGACCCTGTAAAAAGAAGAGTACTGTAAATTTAGCTTAGAATTAAAATATAGAGGTCACTAATCGCAGTTATGACAAAGAAGGGTTCCTGACGTACCAAAAATCTTTAGGGGATCCTAGCCACATAGGTACAACCAAAAGAAGAGCAATAAAAATAAACCAAACACAGATTCCAACTTGTGGTAAAACATCATTCATGAGGTCTTGAAAAATGGTTGATGACAGTTGAAGGTACACTGTTCCAGCTCCAAACAACGTAAACTGGATGCATGCCGAGACCAAAATACTGTAAAACAATAAAAGAAAAGCAGCTAATAATGTTTCCAGTAAGATTAATTTCTAAACAAAATGAAAATTTTCAATTAGAAAAATTACATACCTTCCCCACCTCCCGACAGCACGATAACCTATTGTAGCATAAGGATTTCTCACACGGTCTCTATATTCTGGGTATCTCTCCTCAATAATTGCCCAACAGGCCCCCAGACGAGATCCGCCATATGCAGCATTGAGACAGAACACAATCAAGAGCACAAGACCAATCCAGCCTAGTAAGAAGGTGATAGACACATGGATTAGTAACATGAAATTAAAAAAAAAAAAGCTACATTTAACATGCAGACTTGACAGATACAAACCAGCTTCAACCACTGCTCGAGGGAGAGCCAGCACCCCACTGCCAGCCATTTCCCCAGCAATGAAGACCGCAGCCGATGTGACATTCAGCCCTTTTCCATGACTTGCTGTACTGCATTGTAACTGGATCTGGAGAAATGCAAGAAAAGTAAGTTTAATCAGTTAGATAAGTCTATAGATCAAAGAAAGTAATATTCCACAACTCAAAAAGTTGTGATAAGTATAAGATAAGTTTTATCTCCGTTGATTTTTGCTTGTCATGAATTCAGCCCTATCTCTAGGAAACAATAGTTCATGGCACAACAATATCATCTTTATATAGATAATAGTATCTTAAACACACAAAACTACAAGGTGTGTTTCTTAGAAAGTTACCTAAGTACACATGAACTTGAAGTCTTGAAAAGGTAAAGTTTTACAGGTAAAGAATGTCCAACAACTGTCACAGACAAAATGCTAACAAGACATATTACATAACACCCCCCATCTTTATCACACACACTATCCCACACCTGCACATCAATAAAAATACGTTTGATCTCTCTGATAATACACACAATGGATTGCGGTGATATAATGTTGAGGAAAATGTGAGCTAGACAATTAGAAACATTTTGAATGAGTACAATTTCTCCTGTTTAACCAGGCACTTTCTCGTGGTCGAAACAAAAACAAACCCGCACTCCAGCCGCACCCCACCGATGGAGATGACAGCCTAAATACCGCAACGACGAGGAGCCAGACGGTATGCGGACTGACTTGCTTGAGCCTTGCCCAGTTATTTCATGAAGTTTAATCAAAACTTTGACTCCACAGCGAAGAAAATTAAAGTAAACCGGAGCCTTGAACTAACCTTCTCGGCTGAAGCAGAGGTCCGTGAGCTGTCTCCTAAGCCTTGGTTTCCTGGATCGCCTGACACTCGAGTCCAAATTGGGTCCCGTGAGCCAGTCGACTGGTACCTGGCACTGTTACCAAAGCCCTTTCCTTTCCCTGACATATTCGACATTTAGAGTGATGGCACACAAAGGCCGTTACATTATCCACAATCACACACTGACACTTGATGCAGAAGTCCTCGCTGCTCGCTGATATTAAAAATATGAATGCGAATGTGAATGTGACTTCCCCCACGCTGGGATTCATGAAAGAGAAGACGAAAAGAAAAAGACCGGAACCAGTCGTCAGTCGTCATATTTTTCTTCTTCTTGCCTCCAAGAGACTTGTTTCTTGTTTCTAGCTTGTTTACGAGCAGGGAGACTGCTAGGTTTATGTTAATGTAACTTCCATGGTAATGTAAAATCGGTTATTCTAAAAAAAAAATAGCAAAGAAGAAGCATTCGCTGCATGTTGAGACCGTGTCTGTAATGTGTTGTGAATTCACGGGAATTATTCCATATCAGACCGTGTGGCCTAATGGATAAGGCGTCGGACTTCGGATCCGAAGATTGCAGGTTCGAGTCCTGTCACGGTCGGAATACACCTTTTTTGAGGGGAAGTAGACTTTTGTACTGAGAGTAATCGCCTCATAACTTCCTCGTAGACAATTTTCAAAAACAGAATTTCCCACTGCTCTGACTTTTTTCTTCAAAAGGGTTGGATATCTGGGGTCATGTCGTGTCGTCTGTCAACGTCGTCTGCTTCTTCCTTCAGCCGTCAGTAGATGTCAAATACAAGGAAGTTTTTTGAAGAAAGACTGCCTATAACGCGGTATTCTAATGTTTTCTGCTGAATCTTGGAGTTTGATTTTGCGTATCCCGAGAGAACTTCCTCTTCTACTCCACGCCAATCGCATAAAATTGCTTTAAAGAGTGATAATGGGTTTCGGTGTGTGATGTTTGGGTTATGTTGTTCTATGGATGCAAGGTAATGAAATCAACAATCACCAGCTACTGCCCAATGAAGCCCCATTCAAAGGTAGGACTCATTTTTTAAATTATTTTTTTAAAGAAAAATCACTGGATGGAAATAGCTGTTAATTTTGAGTTGTTGTTGTGTGTTTTATTTGGAGTTTCCTTGCAGCCATCAATAATGAGTAGTCACTAATTTTAAACACTTTCTTGATTTTACAGTTCTCTTTGTGAAACACCTGGAATCCCGAACAACCACTGTTTGATCTTCAGACTATGGGGGAGCTTGCCTCAGGAGCCACAGTTCAAGCAGAAGATAGGCGGCCTGCGACTGACCCAGGGTCTGCTCAAGTTAGTCTTTTTATGGAATTGTGGAATGGTCGTCCTGTAACTTTACCTACACATTCTTGGGCTCTCCATAGGATTGAGAAAACAGGACTCGGACCTCTGGTAGTCATTAATGAAATGATGGCAAACAATCATGGAATACCCTTTCCCTTTAAGCAGCTTGTATTGAGTAGCTCAGGCACTATGATGGCTCTTGTGTTAAATCAAATTATTGATGTGAGTCTTCTGTCTTCAGTGTGGCCTCTTCAAACAGTAGAAGATTTACAGGAAGCGCTTAAATATTTTGATCAAATTGATTGTGAATATGTTTATGTTGAAACAGTATGATAGAAAGGCTCTTGACTAAATACAATTAAATAGCTTTTGATGTGAGGAGAACCTTTAATTGTTGAAATATGTCGTAGTTATCTCTCACTGTTACTGTTATGCTATAGACAATAGACTTTTCCATAGGCTTAACTATCAGTTATGAGATTTGTTCATTTTGCTGTAGTTTTGACATTCTACTTTGATAATTTGTGAGCGAATATTGTCTCCTAAACTATATACAACTAATATCTCTAGTCCTCATGTGCCATGTGTCCCTGCTTTAAAAATCTAGACTGTGATATTTTTTTTCTCATTCCATCATTCCTTCAACGTAACACACAAATACTGTTTGTTTTTGTCATTCTGTCTGATTTTACGACGAATAGGCTGTCTGAAATGTTGATGCCTTTCCCTTTTAGTACTTCCAAAACTTGACTGTTTTTTGTTTTTTTTCCAGTGATAGCAACTATGATTTTATGATATACATGTGTGCATTTGTATGTCTACTGTAATATTACCAAACTGTTGTGGTTAACACATTTTTAATTTTTGTAAAAATAAATTCAATTGGGCGAATGAACTAAAAGCAGTTTTAATTTGAACATTTCATTGATTATTTTTATTTCATAAAAAGAACTTATTTTCACCAATTTTAAAAGTGAAACACTAAGTAAATTGAAGTATTGAATTACATAAAATATCACTTGTTTCATAAGTTCAATGACAAGAAAAGAAAAATCAAATACAATAGCCGTATTACAAATATGCAGGTCTAGAATGCCTTAAAACAAATCATTTCAGAACATAAAACTTACAGCCGACGTACAACGTGTTTATTTCATTACAATGTATCTATTTAAAATGAAAAAAGAAAGCTGAAGAAATGTTAATCATTTTGCTCAGAAGGTACGGATACATTAACTACCTGATCTTTAGAATGAGATCGTGCATGTTGTTCCAAACAGTCTTGTGTTAAATTACGCTTCCCACAAAATACACAGATGTAGCGACTTCCGCTATTTTTTGGTCCAGGTTGGTGGTTAAAGGTAATGATTTTGGAATCACTCAACATGACTGTTTTTCTGAGGTCTTTAGAACTTTCATTCGAACTACTATTAATTTCTGGAGCAGGAGCTATGTTAACAGGAGCAATCTCTTGGTTAACAGGAGGGGAAGGCTGAGCAAGAGGTGTTTTTTCTTTATCCTGGGGTTGTGCAATTCGACTCAATACAGATGAGGGTAAATTGCGTGGAGGAGCATACACAAACTTCCCACCAGCTATAGGGACTTTGGTCTCTAGCAACCTGACAAATCTTCCATCTGGTAGTTTCAAAATCTTAGTTGGAGTCTTATTACTATCTACTTTGAACACACCACCTGGTAAAACAATTGTCTTTTGTGAGGCAGAAGCTAGAGTCAATGGTTTGAGAACTGATTGCATGGGTGGTTGTGCAGTCTTAACAATGGAGGAATTCTGAGATTCTGGACTCTTTGCAGTCTGGTTGGCCTTTGCACGCTCTTCTAATGATTGATTAATACTTTCTGCAGAAATTATTCGCACTTTAGGTTTGAAAGGTGTTGGATCTGAATCTTTTGGCACATTTTTCACCTTCAAATTTTGATCTGAATTGGAAAAAGTACGCAGGGATGATGATGGTGCACTAAGTAAATTGAATCCACCACTGGTTGACGAAGTAACAACACCATCGTCTGAACCATCCTCAGAACTTTCAGAAAAAATTTCATCCTGTTTCCCTGAACTTTTCCTTTTTGATCTCAGCCGCACTTTTGAAGTATTTGTTTCGCTTGAAGATTGACCACTTGTTCTGGATTTCTTTTGTTTGGGCCGTAAAATCCTCTTGAAAACGAATGATTCCGAGGAATCATTATGCTCATCAGCATCAAGACTAGTATCTCCAGCTAAATTGGGCACAATTGTTTCAGGAAGTTGTGATTCTCTTGGAATTTTGTTGCAATCAGCATTATTGTTGTCATTTGAAAGAGAAGGGGGCCTTTCGTGGGTTTTCAAATGCTCAATTAATCCTCTGAACACCATACCACTTTTTGGGCAAAGTGAACAGGACAGCGACTCTCTAAAGTGGAAAATAAAATCAAAACATGAAGAGCTGTTAGTACAAGGAATGTTATTTTGAGATATAAAATAAGGTAATTACAAAAACCCATACTCAGTGTTCGATCCCTTCATATTTTCCCCAGCTCTCTGAAACAATGTGTGCTTGTATGAGAATACACAAATTTAGATATGCCCACAATAGTAGTTTGCAGTTAAAGCCTTACCTGTCTTTCAAACTGTTCTCGCCACTGCAAGGCTCTTAGTTTTTTGTCTGCAGCAATAGCCACAAGAACTGCAGCATCCCATTGAATGAGTAAATTTGTGCAATCATAGCAAAGCTGCAGTGGAAGGGTATCTGTTTCTGCCACCTAGGAAAGCTACTCTATAGTTTCAAGTACATTTAACTGATATTTCAGCAAAAAATTAGAGAATACTACCTTGATGGGTAAGTAACTAGAGAATTTAACAGCAAGTTCATGTGCCACTCCTTCAGGACCATATAATGAAACCGGTTCTTTGCATGTTGCTGCACACATTCGACATAAATGTTGCAGTTTTGTAGGTGTTTCACTGACATCAAATGGTTTGTTGGTTGAGAAAGGAAATTGACCCCGCATCTAGAACAGAAGAGATAAAGGAGGGAAATATAATGATTTGAAGTTTGAAGTTGCGTCTATTGGACAAATTAAAAAGTGTAAATCTAATGAACAACTGTGCATGAAAATTATTCAAAAACGTGTGTTACTGTTCTTCAAAGATAATCAGAAAATAAAGAAATGTTAGCTTCTTCTTTTCTAGTTCTTTTCTAGTTTGTTGTTGACTTTCTGTAGGTTACCATGCAAATCAACAAACGTGAATAGTGAGACCTTAACCAATCCTGCTTTAGAAAACATACCATTATAGTTTCTTCTGTACGTTCTATGTCTTAAATTAAGGTGTACTTCTTTGATGAAAAGTCTATGATCCTTCAGAATTGGATAACATGGTCAGTACACCAACACCGCCAAACCATCACGATAGTATGGTCAGTATGGTATGGTATGGTAGCAAGGAAGGTCTACCAATCAAAACAAGCAGACAGCAGTGGCAGCAAACTGCAAACAATAGACACACAACAACAGTCACTGCCGTGGAAACTCCATGGAAACGACTCGTATTACAGCTAAATCGTCCGACATTGTCTTCTTTCCATACTTTTCCACATCAACTGCAAGTCAATCGTTCGAAATAAATCATCAATTTCTTATCATGCACCTAGCACATTGGATCATAAAGTGCAGGACAAAAACTACAGAGGGAACCTAACCTCTTCACACCTACGTCCGGATCCGGTTTCCCTGCCGTCGCGGAGTCGCGGTTAAAGACAGTTCATAGCAATAACCGCACCTGAATTCACAAACAAGCGAAAACATGGAGATCAACAATGAACGTTTGAAAAGAATCGTTAGGAGAGTATTTCACCGTGTTTTGTGGAAAATCTGTGTTAAGGCCTCGGCGAATTTCTCATACCACCATCACCTTAGATCCTCCCCACCAGCCTTGCCAACTTCTCAAACTATTTTTGAGAAGAAGCTTTTCATTAAAAGTGTTTCCAGGCTGAAAATACGTGAAACACAGTTATGTTCTATTGTACTCGAGCAAGTTCATCAGTCATCTTATCCCATCCGTCCGTTTCCGTAGCTTTCAGGTCTCCAGACGACTTCCATGCCTCCCCCTCCCCCCTCTCCCCCCTCTCACTACCCCCTCACCAAGCCCTCACCACTACCACTACCCTTAAGCAATGCGCTTCCGGGGAGCCCTATCAACCTCCATTATTTGCCGCGGAGTTAATTAGAAACTAAAGAAACTAACACAAAAAATTTCTTTCTGTCCCATATGCACTTTTTGTAGTATCTTAGGACGTTTGCTGAGGGCTGTTTCAATCAAGGAAACCAACAGACGGAGGACAGCGCCTAGTGGGTAGGCAACCCAACGTACGCCGCGCCTGTCAACGCTTTGGATGGGCCAGCCCGCCACGCAGTCGTGTGGAGACGGCTGCCTGCCCTCGGTTCCTACGCGCACCGCGCACCCTCGAGCTTCGAATGTTCATGCTTGGAACGCTCATTTGGGGCACCGGGTGGCGACCCGGCACCTTCATTGGGTGTGGAATAAAATCTTCTTGGCGGGCAAGCTGGCAAGTCTCACTTGATATCCGAGGAGAGACGGCCGCCGCCGGGAAGTACCACGACGGAGAGGATCGATCGACAGTAGAGCGGGGTCGACGACGACGACGGGTCAAAGCTGCCCAGCCCCGGGGCGTTGCCTGGTGGCCGGCATACATAATTGACAGCTGACGAATTTCCTCAAAGGGGAGTGGGCGAATGCCGAGAAAGAGAGCCCTCCCCCACCTCCCTCACCCCCACCCCCATCCGCGCCAACCTCTGATAAGGTACGTAGGCAACCGTCTCGCTCGCCACGGTCCGGGTGGGGGGCATCAATCATAAACCCCCTCTGCACCGTCGTGACGCACCTCACAGCGCGTGACGATACGCACCGTGGCAATCGCTCTGCACGGGAGGGGGGCGTGGCGGACATCACCGGCTCGTGTCTCGACAAGAGGCCGCAGGTGTGGCAGCTGCAGCTGTTCCTCGGGGAGGGGCCGGGCGGTGTTGTCTCAGCCACTTCACACGTCTTCACCCTCCACGACAAAAGGTCTGTCGTCTGTCGTCTGGCCGCTGCGTGTCCAGACGGTCCAGCAGACGGCAACTTCAAACCTTGAGTTTCTCAAGTTCAAACCTTGCCTCCCCGCCGCCACCACGGCCCGTAGAGACCCCCCGCCACGGCCCGCCGGAGAGGAGGAAAGGGAAACAAGGGATTCCAAGGCCAAATCAGCGCAGCGAGGCTACAAGAAAAAGAGAGAGGGAAGAGAAATGTGTGAGTGAGAGAGAAGAAGGCAGCGGCGGGCCGAGCCAGTGTATATTTTTTCGCCAATCAAGTACCTGCGGCTGAACTTTGATCAGACCAGCCGCCTTATCTCGGGTAAGATTCACCAAGTTTAACCCTTGCTCAAGGTACTGCTGCTAGTTGGGACTGTACTTGGCGCTTATCTTCCAACTCCCTTTCTGTCACAATAGTTCGTCTGCTTTGACAACCCCCTTTGACCTATCCAAGCGAGCGAGCATGGAGCCCACACCGACCGAAATTCAAGAACTGAGAGACCAATTCATGAAGAAATTGGATGCTGATGGCTCGTCCATACCAGGTAGAGTAACTGGAGCCCAACCGAACAATCCATGACTTTAACCTTTCTGATTTGAAATTAGAATGTCACTTTGTTCATTTCCTTGTCTCATAATGCTCATTACCTTCTATTGGCTTGCACTGATGTTGCTCCAAAGTCTTCACTAAAGTCCATTACGAATGCCACTCTATAGCACGTAAGTAATGCCATTGTTCATATAAGAATTCCGTTTTGTCTCGCAGGGGGTATTCATCCAGCGGATCTTGCTCGCATTCAAGGAGGAGATGACTGGTTACGCCGATTTCTTCTCCACAATGACAACGATGTTAAAGAGTCACTAAACATGATGTGGGAAACTTGTAAATGGCGCAAAACTTTTGGTACAAATGGTATGTTCTGTGCTCCTAATGTATCCCCTTTCTGTATCAATCTAAATCTGCCTTCTCTGGAGTTGCTTTCCTATATTCTTTGGTTTGGTTTTGTAGATCTTAATGAGCAGAATGTGAGAGTAGAGTATCTTGAAGACGGAAGTATGTTTAGTCACAGCAAGGACATTGATGGAAAATCATTATTTATTTTGAAGTGCAAGAAACATGTGAAGGGTCAACGAGACATGGATGAACTGAAAAAATGTCTTGTCTATTGGTTTGAACGTCTGGAAAGGTAGGGCATTAATAATTTAAGAATGGTCAACTTTTTGAAGCTTCAGTAATAATATTTACCAATATACATGCGTATATTTCAGGCAAGATAAAGGAGATATGATTACTCTCTTCTTTGACATGGCTGATACTGGCCTGTCTAATATGGATATGGACTATACCAAATACCTGATCTCTCTATTCAAGCTTTACTATCCGTTCTTTTTGAACTATATCCTCATTTTTGAAATGCCATGGATCCTCAACAGTAAGTATATTGTAACATCCACTCAAAAATGATTAACATCCATCAACTTTACCAAGACTATTTTTTACTATTCAGCTGCATTTAAAATAATCAAGTCATGGCTACCTGAGAAAGCTGTAAAGAAGATTAATTTTGTGAATAAGAGTACTTTAAAGAACTTTGTGGAGCCAAAGAATGCCCTGTCATGCTGGGGAGGAGAGGACGCCCACGAATTTTCGTTCACACCTGAAGACAGAAATGGCAAAGTAGAAAGAAAAGTATGGAATATGAACAAATTGTTTTTGTTTATCAATTTGCTGGGGTAATGAAGTTCTTACTTTCTTTTGCCATGTTTCAGGTTCATTTTGCTGACTCTCAAGGTGACTCTTCTCCAACAGCGGAAACTGGACATGGTGTGTCTGGTATGTTTCTAAAATGTCGATAATTTTCTGTCAATATTGTTAATATATTTGTTTTCTGAAACTCAAGAGCTTTCATGTATTTGTAATATCATATTTTAAACATTCTCCAGGACTCAAGGTTAAAATAAGCCCCACTGACCACATTGTCTTTGACAACAGTGTAGATTCAGAACTGAGGGCAGCTCTTTCTCTCACAAATTCTGATGATAAAATTATTTCATATAAGGTTTGTTACTTTAATTTTCTGATTGTTTCTGTCCTGGTTCAAAATGTGTGTTATAATATTGTTTTGATCTCTTTGTAGATTAAAACAACTTCTCCAGAAAAATATCGTGTTCGTCCGTGTTTGGGAGTCTTAAAACCAGGAGCCTCAGTCTCTGTGGTTGTGGCAGTTCACGCTGGCTTTCAACTGTCAGCTTTGTCAAGAGATAAGTTTCTGATCATGGGAATGTCAGTTGATTCTGCGGAAATGTCAAATCAAGAACTTACAGACTTATGGAAGGTAAACTTTGGCTGGCTTTGAATGTTGAAGTTTGTGTATGTTGCGTGCCCTTTCACCTGTTACTTACTATGATTTTCAGCAACGTGGGAGCACCGCAACAGAAATTAACCGGTTAAGATGTAGTTCCCCATCTGAAATAAGTAGCCGCAATGGAAGTATTTTGGGCAACGCGTCTGTGTCTCCAGACAAATTATCAGTAGTGTGTGATAATGTAAGTTTCGTTCCAGTTGCTCAGTCTAAATATTGTTAATTCTATAAAATTTGATAATTTGTTTTAACTTTTCTCTTTATATATTTTAGGTCAATAAACTGGTCAGGGCAAATGCTCTGATGGAAACTGAAATTCGACAAACTCGCAAGTACCAACAGGTTCTTACTGCTTGTGTATGTATGTGTGCTGTGGGAATCAGCTATTTGGTTTGGATTCTTCGTGATTACATTGCTGAGGAAAAGTCTTGTCCTGTGTCTCAACTTTCTGATTCCTAATTATGTTGTCCTGTTTTGACATAAAAGTTTCATGAAATGTTCCAAACAATGCACTACGCATCTCTTGTTCTTCATAGATGAGAGTTTTTAAGCTGCACTTAAATTATTGATTTCACAGAAACGTACCTGCAGTAAACATATGAACTATAATTTATTTGAAGTAAACATTGTCTTTACTTTATTGTTGTAGATTATTGCTCATGGGATCAGGATTGGTGCTTCCTAGTGGTCATTGGTTTTTAATATCCTGTTTGTTCATGGCCTATGCTCACGGTTTTATCTATCTTCTGTTTTATGAAATTGTGATATATTGTTTTATAGGAAGATAGTTGTGTAAAAGATACCTTCACTTTGGATTGTCTTCCTTCCATTTGTACCTATTTTTTTGAAGTGTCACTGCTCTGGTGAATCCCTTGTACCAGTGAGAATACCCCATGTCACTGTCAAGTGTTTTTCAGCAATCAATGAAGAAATATCTTGAGCTGCTTCTGACAGTTGGATGTTAGATTCAAACTAGTTTTCTCTGCCTTAGGCGCTTTTTTGAAGTCAATGTTTGTGACTTATGATTGTACGTACTGTCACTATGCATACATATCACTGTAGGAATCTCTGCAGAAAACATTTGTATGCATAACTTTACAGTATTGTTTCTTTCAATTTTATCTAATTGTAGAGTTATATTATATTGCAATATGACTTGTAGTGAAACAAAGGGCCTCCTAGGTGTCGGTGTGATAAACCTTTTTTCTGTTATCTTAGTTTAGAGCTGCTCCAATGCTGGACGTTTAGGGACATTTCAAGCACTGGAAATGTGTTTTATACTTATGAAGTAGTAGCCATGCAGCTGTCAGTTTTACTGCAAGTGCTCAATGTATTAGAATTTGTAGACATTGTGTAGAAAATGCTTCGTACGGATACACCACAGGTAGACCAAAGCAATCTTAATCAGGTAAAAAGGTATTCGGTATTGTTAGTTCATTGTGATTATTCCACTGAAGTTGTCTAGTTTATACCAAGCATCACATTCTCACATTGTTGAAACTAGACTGATATCTTTGCTATTGCTAGTAGGCCATAAATAAATGTGTTGCTAATTTTGTAACTAATCAGCTACATTCCGATTATTTTTTTATTTGTACTACTCATACCTATACTGTATCTTTTTCATAACTTTAATTTTATATATGTATTGATAAATGTTTCATCTATTAATGTGTCTTCTAAAATTAGCCCCAGAAAATAATCTTAATACAGAGAAGAACCAGTTTTGTGATCTATTGCCTGTGTCTGTTTTTCTTTGTGGCAAACCATTGGTAATATTTTTTTATGCCTGCTTCTCCTCTATGGGGTTGTTGGTTTTAGAGGGACCTGATGTGTTACTGTTGTTGCTGCAGCAGTTTTGTTTTAATGTTAATTGTTCTATTGGTCTTTAAATATATATCTTTACTTATTTTTAATTTTTTAAAAGTTTAAGTACCGTTTGATCACAACAATGTGAACTGAACTGAATTTCTGAGGAAATTTATCGGTAACTGCCTTAATTGTTTAGTAATGTAGAGCACATTCTTTGCCTTTTATGAGGTGCTAAATTTTGAAAAGTGTATATATGCACAATAGTTCTTGTGTCATTTTGACATTTGCTGTCTTTGTTTTATGGTAGTTGTATTTAGTTGGACACTGATTGCTCTCTAACATGTCATCCAAGCTCTAATAGCAGTAGTTTTTACGTCAGGTGATGCTTCTTGTCTCAAATGGGTGTTTAAAAAGTACAGTCCCAACTGTCTACTTTTTAGAAGGTCGATTTCTATTGGCAACTTTACTTGCAAGAGTAAACATGCTGTCTGTGAGATTGACTGTGCTTTTGCATTATGTTACACGTTGGAAACGAATGCTTTTTTTTAGTTTCAGTGTACCAAATTTTTTTACTTCTATCTATTACTACGTATATGAAGATGTGCATTTATTTCTTGATACTTGTGACATTGTGATATGTTTTTCTGCATCAACTCTTTATCAAGTAAAAAAGTAAAAGCATGCTAGGAAAAAATCCTTATCTATTGACTCTTGTAAACTTTGTTACTCATTGTTTTGTTTTGTGAAAATACAGCTAATAGTAATTGAAACAGTGGTAACTTAGTCCTCAGTAATCTAGAATGACAACCATTTCATGGACAATGTCCTTAGACAAGACACTGACACCCAAACGAACTCCAGGACTGATAAAAAGCTGACTCCAAGGAATAAAGAAGCGAGGTTCCCAAGATTAGCTGCAAATTTTAACAGAACAGATGTTAAGTTAACCTATCTAAGACAAAGCTTGCATTCCCTTATTCTAGGGCACATATTGTAGCTTACCAAGGAACCCGAGGAAGGAAACTCTACTGCTTTTCAAGTAAAGTATATTTTCTGCTCCTAAATTTCTCTGACGCACGAAGAATACTGCTGATTGGTCCTTTGGCCCCGGCTGTAGGTGCAGAGGACACAGAACTTAAAATTTCGTGTGTCAGTAGCAGTAACAGAAAGGGGGGGGGGGGGAATAGAATGTGTTACCCCAGCTTCTCCTAAAGTGCTGTAGTCAGAGTTGTACAGGAGCAGGTCGCATTCGGGGGGGCATTCGCAGCTGGCCCTTTCCCCTTGGCCCAACTGTTTCTCGCCGACGATGGGTATCCGGAACTGGCCTGTACTGTAGAGATTCCCTGGCGAGATTACAAGAGCAAAACAACTCTTCGTGGAACTTCTAGAACGATGCTGGTGCATTGGGCTCGCGACAGTACTCACGGAGGATACCCTTGTGCTCGTACACGCACTGCAATCCAGACGCGTTGCAAAAGGGGAGCTCAGCTGGAAAAATTAAAAACGAAAAAGCCATGAGCTCGAATAATGGTTGATGGTGTCTAATTGACACCTATATGGCACGTCCCTCGTGGACCGGTGTGATGGGTGCTGGCCTTACCCAAGGGCGAGGCAGGCGACACGCCGTAGTGGAAAGGCAGGCAATGGCAGCGCTCAGCCAGCAGGCCCAGGCGGCACGACTCGACGCAGCTCACCTGGCTGTACTGCACGGCGATGTCCAGCGGGCCCTCGTCGCGGAACTTGCACTCCCTGGCGGTCCACGGCCACCCGCGGAGGCTCTCGTCGGCCTGCTGCACCGTCACCGACGCCTGCAGACGCGACGGAGACGGGGGTGGAGGGCATGGCGCCTGTGCGGTAGGCAACACCAGCGCAGCCGTGTCTGGCGCCGGTCGTGTTGCCTACCCCACGGCCTGCAGGCGCCTGTGCGGTAGGCAACA